GTTTGAGGCAAATAAGATTTTTGATTAAAATTATTTGCTTAGAATTAGGCCCTTTATTCACCAGATAACCAAATTGGCTAAAAAAAAAAATTCGTGTATAACTTTACATTTTGAAAAATAAACCAATAATTTTCCATGGGTAAATCTTCTAAAAAAATCCTCCTTAGATACAATTAGGAATGAGTGCAATTAATGGGAAATAACTGTAAGATTATTTTAAATTCCATACGCCATGTGTTTTAACCACAGTGGCACTGGGAGTTTATGGACAACTAAGTATGGACATCACTTAAAAATTAAAAGATGGTAAGTAATAAGTTTCGTTCAGCCAATCTTTAATTCAGAAGAAAAGCATGTCTGCCGTGGACTGCTGAGTGGTCTCAGTCAGTGCTATCACAGGAGAGATGCGTTATCTCATGAGTCCATCTTGCTTTGCAAAACGTGGTAACAAGAACTTGTCAGGGTGCTTTCCTCAAACCTATCAGCTCAACTGAGAAGACAGTTACTTCACTGTTTATTTTCTCCCTTATTTTATTGAAGTCTATTTATCACATAGTATCTAGTAGCCACCACTTTGTATAAATAGGTACGTATATATAATGCAATGCACACTTACCCAAAGGAATGAATAACTGTTAAAGTGTTATTAATAACTTGTCTTAATTTCAGTGTAATTTACCCTAGGGAGACCTTCATAGTATTAAAATCATCTTTTTTCTTTTCTTTTCTCTAAAAGAGCAATTAAACATTTATAAAAATTCACATCAATTGTTTATACAGCTAGAGGGAAACTGCCATATCATCTAGCCAAGCAGTCTGACTTACCTGTCGAGAAACAACGAGGTGTTGTTTTTAGGTTGATTAGGGTGATTGTAGCTTGAGTCTTAAATTCTATCTGTATGCAACAAAGAGACTTCAGAGAGTTTAGGTAGGTGAGGAGAAGGGTGCGCTGGCACTTTGAGGGCTTTCTAATATGCTGCTTTTAAAAGAAAAAGTGTGGTTGATACTCAGTGCATCTCCAGATATGGCAGGGGGTTGCTCTGAATAACCAATCAGGTGATCGTCTTTTCTACCACTTTCCAGGTTTTATGCAAAAATTTTGTTAAATTCTATAACGGTGATATGCATCTTTTAAGAAAGATGATACCTTTTTAAAAAATTATTTTATGTAAGAACTGACAGAGGAATTTGCTTTGTATAATGCAAGCTGGCTTTAAGAAAGCACTGTAGCAAGATTTACTACAAGTCTAAAATTATACAGGTATGTTAATAGATATATGTGCAACTAGATATGGACAATTGTATTTTTTTAAATAAATATTTTTAACAAAATGATTTTTTGAATCGATTATTCATTTTCCTTCTCATATCCATTGAAGTAGTTCTGTGTACAGTCTCTGTATTATATTCTCATCCGTGCTAACTGTGGGTAAGCAAAGAGTTTTTCAATGCTTATCATTAAAACCTGGCCTTCAACTATTTGATAGCTGTCTACATTAAAATATTTAAAGCCTAGATTGGGATAGGTAGTGAAGAGGAAGATTTTATAAAATGATTGTTGACGTAAAATTAGGAATTCATGAAGAACTCACTGGCTAGAAAAGTTATTCACTATTTGAAATCTTCTTTATTTTACTTTAAAAAGAGCTTAAAATAACTTAATCAGATGCTTTTATTCTAGCCTTTGTAAGGAGCAACTTTTGCTTATTTCTATTTTGCTTATTTGTATTCTAGGTACTGTTTCTTCCTCTAGTTTTTGAGATAAGAAACTGGAGACTTCATTTAGCAAATGAAATTAGGCCTTTTCAAAACTGGGTCGAAATAATATACATAGGGGAAAGTGGGGTTAATAGGTGGCAAAATCACACCAGAGAGAGCTGTTTCATATCTCTAGAGGAAAATAAGGGGACAGAGGGACAGATTGTTGGGGGGAGCGAGCAGTTCATGTGCCCTGGTGACATGTCACTTCAGACGGTGGCTCAGTCAGCACTGTTCAGCACAGTTGGGTATAACCACTTGAGAGGGCTGTTGGACTCTCCCAAAACACCACCTCAGAATGTATTACTGAGAACAGTAGTCCCATGAGGTCCAATAAGTTTGGGAAATGGAGTCTTCACTTCTTGGAGAATCAAAATGTATTTTGCATTATCAAAAGCTCCAAGTCCTTCAGTTAAAAAGCCTGTTTAAGTCACCGTTTTCTAACCTTTCTGTGAGCACATCCTCTTTTGAGAGGCATGCCTCTTTTGCAAGCACTTTGTGTGTTTTATTGATGCATCCAATGACAAACTACTACACCCTAATATTGGGTCATTTTCTAGGGCTGGCATTATCAGGTAGGGGATAATCAGCAGTCATAATATTTCACACTGATTGTCACTGCAAAGCATTGCACTGGCTGGAATACACTCTGTAACTGAAGGGAGGAGTCCGTTAAAGTGACTTCATTCGGAATAACTCTAAAATAAGACAACAGTGTATAATATTGAAAAATGAAGCATGTTCCCTGTTACATAGAATCAGAACCTATCTGCCTACCTCTTATTCTGATTCTATGTATCAGGGAACAGTGGCTCTCAGCCCTCCTGAGAGTTTTGTTGCTTCTAAAATACTAGCCACGTGAACACAGTATGAGAGCAGTCTGTCTCTGGGGAACATCAAGCCATTTGTTTCTGAGTTTCAGTTGTCCTTCATAATGCATAACACATTTATTAAGTTTAAAATATTTTATTTTAGGAAAGGTACTCTTAGATTTGTTTAATCTTGTTTTCTATATTAACAAATCAATCATGATCAACTTAGATATAGCCATAGGTTCTCATTTTTAAATCTGTATAAAAGGTGTTTTCTTGAAAAACCACAAGAAAAATACAACTGCTTTCTCTTTGCCCAAGTCAGTCACTCACTACAGTCAGACTGTGTATATAAATTTGACTGGCATCTACCACTTGTATTTACAAACAGTTAAAATTACACTCCCAGACCACCAGCTTTCAAAAGAAGTTGGATTTGTTTGACTTAACAATAAATAGGTACCAAACATAATGAGCAATTTTAAGCCGCTTAGGAGGAGGTGTTAAAAATCACTAACATTTATTAAACAATTTCTATGTCAGGCATATAGTAAGTGCTTTAAACAAATTCACTTAATTCTTTCAGAATTCCTTTGAGGTAGGGTAGGTACTTTTAGAAATGCCACTTTACAGGTGAAAAAAGCGAGGTTGGAAGAGCCTCTGTTGTCTGCCCAGGGCCACACACAGCTGGGCAGTGAGGCCAGTGGCTTCAGCCACGCTTCTCTCTCCAGCCAGATTCTCATCACTGTGCCGGGGTGCTGGTGACGAGAGCTGGCCAGCGTGACCATGCCTATAGACCCAGGAAGAGCCCTTTAGTGTCAAGCACGTGAACCACAGCACTTGGGACGGGTGTGCCGAGAACCATGATCCACTTAATTTTTATATTTATACATGTACATTTGTATATACAGAGAGAAAGTGCAGGCAAGCCATTCATTATACAGCCACTGTAACAGCCATTTCACAACGGCCAGAAGTCTCAGTAACCTATCCCTGTCTAAGCTGGTGAGTTTGCATTCTCCCTTTGTACTGCTACCGCCTTTGCTCTGGGCAGGAGCTGAAGCTCCTTGTCGGACACTGCACAGCTTGAACTGTTCAGTAGTCCCAGCTTTTTCTTAAGGAAAAGACCTAGACATAGTATAAAGAGTTTTTTTTTTTTCCCCCTCTGTAAAAGATGTAAAAAATTTTAATTAGATATTTTTGGAAATTCTTAGTGCTGTTCTTATACCTTTTATATGCTAGTCAATGTCAGTAGAGAATAATAGAACATCCATCTCATTCTCCCAGGCAATTTCTGGACCAATTAGCATTGATTATTAGCAGTGGGCATGTTGGTAAATGTTTACCAACTGGCTCTCCAGGGGAGGGAAAAAAAAAGACATGATTTATAGCTTTTGCCAATATCCATGGTATAAATACTTCCACCATGGCTGATCTCAAGCTACCAATATGCTATCACAGAGAGAACTGGGAAGCGCAGCATTAGGTAGTCCTTCCACCACGTAGATGCCTTGATGTAAATAACCTCAGGAGCATCAGTATAATAAAGTCAGGAAGTGTTACATTTTGAATATTTATTACCTTTGTTTTTAATATATTTATGTAACCATATGTTTATATATTTTAATAATGGCTGCATTTAACAAGCAGCTCTCAAAATGAACATTTTATTTATTTATTTATTTGAGAAACAGAGTCTCAGTCTCTCCCCCAGGCTGGAGCGCAGTGGCACAATCGTAGTTCACTGCAGCCTTGAACTCCTGGGCTCAAGCAAGAGCCTCAGCCTCCGGAGTAGCTGGGACTATAGGTTCATGTAACCATGCCTGGCCAATTTTTTTTTTTTTTAATTTTTTGATCTAGAGATATGGGGTCTTGCTATATTGCCCAGGCTGGTCTGAAACCCCTGCCCTCCAGCACTCCTCCCATCTTGGCCTCCCAAGTTGCTGGGATTACAGGTGTGAGCCACTGTGCCCAGCTCAAAATGAAAATGTAACAGTCAGCTTTTCTAAGCTGGCATGAGCCAGCCCAGCATACCACTGAGTTAGTGTCCCAAAGATAGCAAGATGCAACTTTTCCTCTTAATATTTTAGAATATTGGTAAACTATGGATAATCTGCAGCAGGGATTTGAGGGACTCTGGACTATTAATAAGTGAAAAAACACGTAGATCCTTTGAGCATGCCAGGGAGTAACTTGGGGTTTGTTTTGCTTAATTTTAAAATATATCTATATATAGCAATGATCATCAAGCTTTACAATTTCAAGTGATTTTTTTTTTTTTTTTTCAAACTTCAACTAAGAGTGATCGCAAGTCCATGCATGTGGCGGCAAATGTGGCCGTCTTCTCCCTTCCTGTCTGGGCGTCCCGGACAGCTCTTACCAAAAGTCTGAACTGGGGAAGAGGAAGGAAACGTGAATAGCCAGGCAAACTTCTAATGATTCTGATCCAGGTACCAGGACTCAATTTTTTTTCTACCCGATCAAGTATAAGCAGAGAAGATTTGGACGACGTCGTTGAGAGGTCGCGTCCACTGCCACCCCCAGCTGTCTCAAACACGTTGGCGGCCTTGGCGCTCGGGGGGCTGGGAGTCTTCGCTTGCCTCCGCCACCCACTTTTACCTCTGGTAGCACTCAGAGCCTTCCATTCCGAGTGATCTGTCTTGGGTAGGAACTACGACAGAAAAAAAAAAAAAAAAAAAAGCCCACGGTCATGGAGACTACCCAAGTGCCCGTCAATCCATGAATGGATAACTAAAATGTGGCATATACTCACAATGGAATATTACTCAATCCTAAGAAACCATAGTGAACTAGCACCGTGTATGCTATCGTGGATTAAGCTTAAGCCTGTAATACAAAGTGAGACGACACAAGACCTGGAAGATGGGCTACACATCTACTCGCCATCAAATTGGTACTGACAGCCTAAAACTATGGTGTTCAAATAACTGTAGTGTTCAGCAGGGATCTGGGGGGTGGGGGGGAGACCCACATCTTAAGGATGTGATGAGCATGGTAGGGGGTAAAGGATTACCTCTATCCCTTTTTAGGGAGAGTCCAAGAAACACACTGTAACCAAAATGTCTAAAAAAAACAAATTTTTGTTAATGGGAGGTGAACAGGTGGAAGGGGGGGAGAAGGGGAAGGGTACGTACGCACTTTCATGGTGGGTGCAGGGCGCACCACTTGGAGACTGGACACGCTTGAAGCTCTGGCAGAGCGGGGTGGGGAAGGGGGGCAGGGGCAAGATATGTAACCCCAACAATATTTGTACCCACAGAATTTGAGAAAAATAAATAAATAAAATTATACATATATAAAAAAAAACCAAAACGGGCCCGTTTTAGCGGTTCCAATTACTCGCAGTGATTCGTTCTGAGAGCTGACCCGGGCTTTCTGTTTCTCTGCCAGGCTATGCCCTAAGGGGCAAGGGGAGAAGTCAGACCTACTCAACTCCTCCCGGCAATATGTTGGTGGAGGCAGTTTGTTGAGTGTTTAAGGCTTAGGGAATATGTTTTTTTGTTTTTTTGTCCCCCATGAATAAGGAAGTGTCGCTCATTTGATGTTCAACAAATATTAGTTGAACATGTGTCTTAAATGACACTCTGCACAGAGTGCCAGGCTAGACGACAGGCAGCACGGCCTTCTCAGAAGCGAGGCCGTAGTGAGTGCTGCTTGCGAGACCCCCTGTTCTTCTGGGCCTTTGTTCTGAGTGTTTAGAGGGGGTGGATCCGTCCACCCAGGGAGAGAGAAGCTCTGGAAGCTTCCGCACACAGCCGATACAGTTACTTTGAAAGCTCCGTGTTATGAAAATAGCCTTGGGACTGCCCCTGCCTGGGGTCTCCAGCGGGGAGACTGTTCTTAGGAGGTGTCTCTGCCCTGAAGGAGCCTTTCTTTGCCACTTGGCTTTTGGAAAAAGGAGATGTGGACGGGAGTCAAAATCCTGAACTGCAAAGAGCTGGCCAATTAGGCCGCTGGGCCGAGTTCCAGCCAGGGAGGCAGGCTCTGCCTTTCAGTGTCCCGACCAGACTGCGAAGGGACTCTGGGCCCCCAGTCCCCCCCCCCATGGTGGGACGCAGGAAGCCAAGTCCCTGCCCCTCTGCTAGCGGAGGGACTGTGAGTCAGCCGGCCGCTCCCGCCTGCCCTAGGAGCCCGCACCGACAATCGCAGGGAAGGCAGGAAGGGGGGCAGAGGAAGCTGTAGAAAAATAAACATTTCCTCGCATTTTACTTGGAACGGAGCAGCACTGAGGGCGTGTTAAGAGCCATAGAACCTGCCCCCGCCTCCCCCTGCTCTGTTTTCCTCCTCTTGTGCAGAGCGGATTCTCCCCTTACCTGATGGGGGGCCAGGGTGCATCCTGTGGAAAAACAGCAGCAAGATGTAGAAGGCAAACGCCAAGCAGCCAAAGATCACGCCGCAGACCAGGAAACTGTAGCTGCCCTGCGCCTGGAAGATCTGCCAAAGGGGAAACAGAGGCGCGGGCCGTGAGACCTTCCCTGGGGGATGTGTTGTAGGGAGCGACCTCCCTGCTTCTTGGCAGGGTTTTCAGTCAAGTCGAGGCCCATCCCGCCAACCGACAGAAATCCCGGGGAGGAGGGGGGTCTTGGCCTTGTTTCAAGGCTATGTGCCGGAGGGGCCGGGGGGGAGTCCTGCTCTAAGGCAGGGGTCGGACCTGGTAACCTCCTGCAGGCTCTTTCAGCTCTGTGTTCTGGAACCTTCTGGAAATCTCCATACCATCACTGAAACTTCAGACCTACTATGTGCTTCTATACCCATGAGGCCTAACCAGGACTTGGCAGAGGATAACTTTTTTAACCTTTGGTTATGAAGATTTAAAACATGACGTCAGAGTGGCGTGTGGGGCTCTGGTGGACCCATCACTCAGCCCTAGCGATCTGCACCCACTTTGCCGGTGGCCTTCCGCTTCCCTGCACGCGATGGCGCCGAAGCTGGTGCCAGACATCGCGTCATTTCAGGGTGGAGGGGGTCGTGAGACGTGCCCCCCCCGTCAGGCAGGGTAAAGAGGACCGTGTCGTGGTGCCGAGGTGGGAAGACCTAGGTTTGATGTCGCCTCTACCAGGTGCGAGAGGGGGGACTGACCTCAGGCAAGTTGCTAAATGCATCTGAGTTTCAGTATCCTCTGTTGTAAAAAGAGGAGTAATCTATGCATGCGTACCAATAATCACTGACATAAACAAAAAGAAAAAAAATTTAAAAAAATTCTACATTATAGTTTTCAATAGAAACGTAGATGTTTGGTTTTTTTCCCCCCAGTGGACGAATGAAATTTGGGCATGTTTGCAGAGGAGGCCCCTGGGCAGGGAGGAGGCCGGGCCCTCCACTGGCGGCCGGGAGAGGTGGGGCAGGGAGGGTGGGCGAGAAGGATGGGAAAGAGCTCTGCCTGCAGCTCCGACCGCCCGGGCGCCGAGAGCTGCTCAGCGCTCCCACGGCCCGCTGGGCCCGCTCCCAGACGTGGCTCGTGTTTGCTTTGGACCTTTCCACGCGTCCGTTCACGTCTCCAGATCCCACATTTTCAAGAGGCCCAGCTTCCACCGCCGGCTCAAAGACGGAAACAGGTAGCAGCAGCGCAGGGGCCCTGCTGGCTCCGCAGGACACTCGGGAAAGGGGCAGTCTGGGTTCAGAAGGTGGCCGGCTGCCTCTTCTCACCTGCCCAAAGAAGGGCTCCCCGGCCGCTGCCCCCTCCCCGAGGGATCCCCACGTACCGAACCGACCAGCATCTGCAGGACCATCTCGCCAATTCCTGCCCCGGTCACCAGCACCGTGGTCGCGCAGCCTAGCGGAAAGAGGAGGCTCGGTTTGGTGAAAGCAAGACAAAAAGACAAGTCAGCTGTCAAAATCCAGGCTGCTTCTGGAAAACCCCTGGAAAATGGTGTGGCGACAAGGACTACTTTGGTTTGCTAAGAGTTCTTGGACGTTAGCCTGGAACTATGCTTTGGGAATGCCTAAGGGGTCCTAGTGTCATTATCTCCCTTCCTTGTTCTGAGACCTTCAATTGCTCACCACTGTCTCCGGGCAAATCCTAAATCGATTAGCCCGGCATTCAGGGCTCTTCCGCATCTGACCGCCAGCTACCTTTCCAGAAGGATTTCCTGACATCCTCAGGCCAGCTCTTTGCTGCGGGAACTCAAACCAGCGTCTCGGTGACCAGCCACACGCCCCTGATAGAGCAGCAGCGTGGCACAGACCTTCCGAGCCCAAGCTTCAGAGTCAGACTTGGGTTCCAAGCCCAGCTGTGTCACCTCCTAGCCATGTGACCTTAGACAAGTTCTCTGACTCCTCTGGGCCTTGGTTTCCCTCTCTGTAAAATGGGCATCACGACGGCCCTGCACGGGATTGCTGCGTGGCTGACTCTGGTGTAATATTTGCCGAGTGGCGCAGCGCTGGCACGTGCTAACACGCCAGGCCAGGCTGGCGCTCTGCTCGAGCCCGCCAGCACCACCTGCAGGATGAAGTCCAAGTGCTCTCACGGGGTTTGCGGGGCGCGTTAGAATCTGTCTCTGCCGGCAGCTCAGGCTCATCTCTCGCGCTACCTGCTCGCAGTCCACCCTCCAGCCGGGATAAACTCTCCTGCGTTTCCTGACCTGCATGCTCATTCTCACCTCCAGCTCTGACACGTGCCTTCGCTCCCTCCTGAACACCCCTTCTCTTCCTCTTTTCTGGAAAATTCCCGCTCATCTCGTAGGTCCTGGTTTAGACTTCTACAGCAATCTCCTTCCCTGTCCCCACGCCTGGATGAGTTGCTCCTCTCTGCTCCGACAGCCCCTGCACCTGCTCTCTTAGCCCACTGTGTGTTGACTGGCCAGCCCACCCTGCTAGGCGGGAGGCCCAGGGAGGACAGCCGTGCCTTGTCCTTTAGTTCACTGGCATAAGCCAGCTTGTTAGCATAGCAGCTGACGCATGCTACATAGGCTTGCAGACCTTATTTTTATTTTTATTTTTTTGAGACAGAGTCTCGCTTTGTTGCCCAGGCTAGAGTGAGTGCCGTGGTGTCAGCCCAGCTCATGGCAACCTCAAACTCCTGGGTTCAAGCAATCCTGCTGCCTCAGCCTCCCAAGTAGCTGGGACTACAGGCATGCGCCACCATGCCCGGCTAATTTTTTTTCTATATATATATTAGTTGGCCAATTAATTTCTTTCTATTTATAGTAGAGACGGGATCTCGCTCTTGTTCAGGCTGGTTTCGAACTCCTGCCCTTGAGCGATCCTCCCTCCTCAGCCTCCCAGAGTGCTAGGATTATAGGCGTGAGCCACCCCGCCCGGCCGAGATCTTTTAATACAGTGGTCATCACCAGCATCTACTCTGGTCTTCACATTCCTTCAAGCTCTTTTAGTCTCACAACGTTCAGACCTGTCTCTGTGCCTGTGCGCACGTTCTGTTGGTGGCCCCACCCCTCCCAGGAATGCCTTCCCAGATCCTGGGCCAGCGCACCTCATCTCCTCCATGAGGCTGTCTCTAAATCCAACACTGGCCACTCCCTTCTCTGAATTCCAGTGGCACCCAACTGTCTGTTCCACTCATTCATTCAAAAAGCTGGGGGTCTTCCGTGCCTCAGGCACTGTGCCAAACACTGAGGACACGCGGATGAACACTAAGAGTTAACAGATTTCGAGCACCCATGAGCCGGCTCTGATGCTAAGTCAAGAGCTTTACGTTTGCTCCACTGCACAAAACAATCCTAGACAGTAGGCATTTGCATCCCCCATTTACAGATGAGAAAAATCGAGGCTCAGAGAAGGGAAGGAAATGGAATTGTCAAGGTCATAAAGCCAGTAAGTGTGAGGCACTCAGGTCTGCTGATGACTTCGCAGCCCACATTCTTCCCCTTGTCCCTTAGAGTGTGGTGTCTAGGACAGGAGGCAGATAACGTAGGTACAAAGAGCCTTGAGAGGGTGAAACACGAGAGACAGGTGCGGCGTCAATGGGCACAAAGGAGGGGGCACATCTTTCCAGGGGAATCAGAGAAACATCCTGGGGGGGGGAGGGAAAGGAGTGACTCGAGTTGGGTCTAGAAGGACAAGCAGGCAGCTAAAGGGGTAGAGAGACAGGGTAAGGAGGGCATTTCAGGCAGAGGGTGCTCCGCATGCCAAAGTAGGGACAGTTTTTGTGCCGTCAGAGGACAGCAAGTAATGCATGGCTAGAAAGCAGGCGTGGAGGGGAGGCAGGGAGGACGGAGGCTGGAGGAGAGAGGAGCTCTGTAGGAAGGTGTGAAGGCTGCCATTGGTCCTGAGCTTTAAAGCAGGCCCTCAGCAGCAGTGCGCAGGGCGGCTTGGTGCGTGGGCCTCACCCCTGGCTACACGTGGGAGCCACCAGCTGCTCCGGACCAATTGCATGGACCGGGCGGCGAGGTGGTGTCCTGGGCTTCGTTAGGAGTGCTCCAGGTGGGAGCGGTAGAGGCAAGGAGACCACCCAAGACTTATCGACGGGGACGGAGGCGATGAGGAACTGGGAAAAGCTGGGCACCATGCAATAGCCACGCAGGTAATATGAAGGCAAAGGTCTGAACTTAGGCAGGGACAATGAGAAATGAAAAGAAGAGGACGGATTTGAGTGATCCTTTGTAAGCACAATTATCATTATTAAACTTACCATGATTAAACGCTGACACCTGTGGATCACTTACAGCCCTGTGGGACGCTCTGTGTGGCATGTGATAGCCACAATGTTTCATTACTTCATTTACTCCCTTGAGGCTCGGTTAGACACCGGTGTCTCACTAAGGAGGAAGGCGACTGAGCGCGCCTAGGACCCCACCCCGGGGAGCCGGGTGAACGGCCGTTGCTGTCTCTAGGATGAGCTTGAGGGGGGAGGTTGTGTTTCCTCAGGTGTGACCCCTGGGACCCAGCACCGCGTCAGGAGAAGCAGAAAGGTGGGCTGGATGGACGTGATGATGTGACTTCTGCCCTCAGTTTTCATCGGGGCCGGTCACGGTTCCACGGAACTTGCACCGGGCCTGCCCTGCCTCCACCGTAGCTGGGACTACAGGCGCTCGCCACCACGCCTGGCTAAAGTTTTTTGTTTCTATTTTTAGTTGCTTGGCTAATTTTTTCTATTTTTAGTAGAGACCGGGGTCTCGCTCTTGCTCAGGCTGGTCTAGAACTCCCGAGCTCATGCAGTCTTCCCGCCACGGCCACCCAGAGTGCTGGGATTACAGGCGTGAGCCACCGCGCCGGGCCTGGTTGATTCATTCTATCACACGAATTGTTTTCCTTCGAAATTATAAACATTAAACAGCGGATAGTATGATCTCATAGGCTCAGAAGGCATCTGGGAGGAAACAGACTGCTAAGAGTGTTATTTTCGCCTACTTTCACTTCGCTGCTTTAGAATAGCCTCTATTGTTTAACGTTTTTGCAGTGAGCCTGTACTACTTGTATAACAAAAAGATTTTCCATTTTTTGAAAACAAAAAAAAATGTGCAGGTTTATTGTAGAAAACATTTTATTCTTTACAACCGATGATGCTGTGTGCTAAAATCACTTGGGGCTCGTGCTTCGAGTTCAAGGATCCAGGCTCTCCCTGTCCCCCCGGACTGTGCATGACTGAGCTGGGTGCAGCTCTAATTGCTCCGGCTCTGCCTGCACAGCACCCTCCCCCACTCCTCTCAAGAAATTGCTCATCTTAATGCTGCTTTTCCAGCCTCTAGGGCGTCTCTAGTTGCTTCTAAGGGTAAAGTTAAATGTTCAAAACATAATTATTTTTAATTAACTCATTAAAAAACTTTTTTTTTTTTTTTTTGCTACATGCACTTGGGAGGGCAGGGAAAGGGGAGGGAGATCGGTCAAGAGAATTAGAGGTTTCTGACATCAAAGAAGCTGTGTCACAACCTCAAACCAGGTGTGGAGTCATCGTTCCAGTCCTCTATGCTTCGAACAACACCCACAACCAGGCAGGCAGGTGCTGCTGCCGATAATTAAATTATAAGATGCCTTTTCCTGTGTCATAACTTTTCCCATGCAACTTCGCCTTTCTTTGAATTTGGCATTTCCAGCACATGCCTGTTACGCACAGTGTCAGCTGCGCGTCAGCAGACGTTAGTTACAACAGGGAAAACGAAAATGGGAAAGAGAAGCTTAGGCCGGGCGCGGTGGCTCACGCCCGTAACCCTAGCACTCTGGGAGGCCGAGGTGGGTGGATTGCTCAAGGTCAGGAGTTCGAAACCACTCTGAGCAAGAGTGAGACCCTAAAATAGGGTCTCACTAAAAATAGAAATAGAAATTAACCGGCCGACTAAAAATACATAGAAAAAATTAGCCGGGCGTGGTGGCGCATGCCTGTAGTCCCAGCTACTCGGGAGGCTGAGGCAGGAGGATCAGTTGAGCCCAGGAGTTTGAGGTTGCTGTGAGCTAGGCTGATGCCATGGCACTCTAGTCTGGGCAACAGAGTGAGGCTGTCTCAAAAAAAAGAAGAAAAAGAAAGAGAAGCTTAACAGCCTCTCTGCAGCCTAAGATCTCGTATTGAATGGAGGGAGCCCAGAGGGTCAGAACAACCCTGCGTGTGAATCTGTTGCCAGCAAAGTCAGGAGGGGACCATTCCTCTCTACGAGAAGGTAGGGTACAGATCTCGCTGGGAGGTGGTGCTGGCCTGGAAAACCACAGAAAGACGGGGCGGGCGGGAGCAAGAGGCACCTGCCACGCACCTGCCACGCACCTGCCATGGAGAGCAGGCCTGTCCCCCCAGCCCGGCTCACCTCTGTACTGGAGCATGTCCTCGGTGTAGGCCAGCACGCTGGGGAAGGTGCTGCTGAGGAACAGGCCCAGGCTCGCTGTCCCCACGAACAGGAAGACGACGTTGTAGGAGAAAATAAGCAGCACCAGGAATGTCATCACCACGCCGACCTGTCGCAGCAGAGGTGGGGGCGGTCAGACTCTGGGAAGAGCTGGGCATCCGGGCGAGGGTCTCCTGGCTTGAGGTTTGGCTCCGGTCCCAGGTGCGGTGCTGTGTAAGCAGCGCGCCACCCTGTGGACTAGACGGGAACTGCGGCGTTCCTAGGGACGTTCTGGTATCCAGCAAGGATGCACAGACAGGAAAGCCACCCGGGCTTCTACACAGACGCCCCGCCGCACCCACGCACGCTTAATAAGCCTTTGGCGAGGGAAGACTCCTGTGCCCCAGGTCTTATCTGTGACCACAAGGAATGCCACCTAAGCCGATTTCATCAGCTTCCTCCGCCCGGCTGTCCCCAGGGTGGGGTGGGGGTGGGGGGCATGAGAGCCCCACTCTACTTTAAAGAGGAGCTGCTGCTCTTCCCCTAAAAGTTCACGAGGCCAAGAGGGCCCAGAGAGGAGGCCACAGATTGCAGGAGAAGAGGGGTGGTGGCTGCAGGGTCCCCACCCTCTGGGAATCCAAGCCAACCTCCCAGGGAGAGGGGCAGATGCCCGCGGGCAGATGCTACCCAGGGCTGGAGACCCCTGCGATGGGCTGACAGGCCCCGAGATCTTTCTAGTTCAGTCACGTGGGCATAGCTTTGTTAATATAACCCTATTTCCGAGTTCTTTAAACATGCTTCTATGCCAATATTGAGTCATTCTTATGCAGAATGCATCTGGGAATAAACTCGGGCAGCATAAGATTTGGAGTAGGTCCCAGCTGTGTGTGCGTTTTTTTTTATTTCAACCAGCTGTGGAACCTTCAAGTAGTTGATCTGATTCTTAGCTTCCTAATCCGCACAATGGGAAGAGTTAAACAAAGCTACGCTGAAGAGTGGGGGTGAAGTGATATAAACGAGTGGGCTCTGTAAAGTGTGACTGCTTTAGGCAAATATTAATCCTAGTATCCATGCGTGGGCTTTTGAGGGTGGCAGGAGACAAAGATCTTCTGTAGAAGCCCACAGCTTTGCAGTAAAAACCTCCTGGGTGAGGACATCTGTTTCCAGAAAAAAATGAGCATAGCACATAGAGCTGGAAGGTGTCTGCAAGAAAACGACATCGAATCCAGGCCCGCCTTCTCCACTCCGTGGCTGAGGCACTGGGCATGCGGGAAGGAAGGGACCTCCAGGGTCACTAGGGGATGCTGGGGGCTTGGCTCCAAGTGGAGGAACAAAGCCGGTGACCCCGTCCGGGAGCCCCTTTGCTCCCCTCGGCCAGCCCCTCAGTCTCCACCGCCAGACCCCTGAGCTGTGAGGTGAGACTCGGGGTCCCTCCCGAGGCAGACTGCCTGCCCTGGAGAGGGACCAGGCGCCACACAGTGGCTGAAGGAAAGCGACACATGCTCTTAGCGCTGGACGTGCAAACAGAAGGCGTCTTTCACGCAGGAAAAACAGGAAAGCCGTGGACATATCTATGGCTCCAAAGATGACGTTTCCTTTGGTGCAGAGCTTCCTTTTGTCCCACAGTTCCATGTTTCCTTCTTCCTCCTCTGCTCATTTTCTCAATGCTGGAGCAGCCCAGGATTCTATTCTGGCTTTTTAAATTAATTTATTTATTTTGATACAGGGTCTCACTCTGTTGCCCAGGCTAGAGTGCCGTGGCGTCAGCCTAGCTCACAGCAACCTCAGACTCCTGGCCTCAAGCCATCCTCTCACTCCAGCCTCCCGAGTAGGTGTGACTACAGGTGTGCCCTATCACACCTGGCTAGTTTTTTTAAATTTTTCATAGGGACGGGGTCTCACTCTGTTGTCCAGGCTGGTCTCAAACTCCTGGCCTCAAGTGACCGTGCCGCCTTGTCCTCCCAAGGTGCGGGGATGACAGATGTGAGCCACCACTCCCCGCCCTGGCTTTTCTTTACCCACAGTCCCCTTCCACCCAGCTGCACGCTTCAGCTGTCTCTGTGCCGAGGACTCTTAAATCTACCCCTCTAGCCGTGACCCGTGTCCAGCGCTCGCCCGGCCTATGAACTGACCCTTGGATGAGGCCAGTCTCCGTGGCCAAAACAGGACTTCTGATCTCCTCTACCGATCCACTCTTCCCTACATCAAGCGACAGCACCGCCGCCGCGCAGTTGCGCAGGCCCTGCATGTGAAGTCACCCCCGGTCCCTCCTTCCTGCACCTCCCACGCTTGGGTCAGGGGAAAGCGCCGTCCACACCACCTCAGAGGACATTTAGAATTGTGTGTCCCTCCAGATGCATGCCGGCTCGTGCCTGGACTGCGACCAACAGACACCGCAGCTGCCTCCCTGCTGTTCTCCAGCCTCGACCGCCTGTTCTTCCGCAGAGCAACTGGAATATGCACTGTTAAAATGCGCTGCAGACCGAGTCCGTCCTCTGCTTAAAACCTTCTATCAGCTTCCTGCCCTCTTGGAATAAAATCTAAACCCTGCCTTACAAACCTCTGCTCCCCGCCTCCCCTCCCACCATGCTCCCCCACCCCCCGATAGTCCCCTCCTGGGGCCCTTGGCCGGCAGCGGCCTCCGCCAGGACCGCTCCCCTTTGCCTTCGCCGGATGGCGCCTTCTCGATACTGAGCGCTCAGCTTGGGAGCCGGGGCGGATGCGGGGGGCTTGCACATGCCACTCCCGTGCCTCCCCCGCCTGCTGGCTACCCCCGGGCAAACCACACAAATGTCCGGGCAAGCCTCGAAGACGGGCACCCTGGAAACCCCTAGATCTCGGAAAGTGCGAAAGACACTCAGCCGTCTTATTTTAGCCTTGGTGACAGAAGGCTGAATGTGCCCAGGGCGAGCTAGCAGCTCGGCCCGCCAGCTCTCCTCCCACGCGGTGTGGCCGGTGACTCAGCCCGGCTCTCAGCCTGCTCCCCTGCTGCCCGCCGCCCCCTCGCCCTCCCTCTGTGCCGGGCGCACCCTCCTGCCCCCCTGGCCGACCGCAGGACCCTCGCCCACCCCATAGAACCCGGCTCCCCTGCGGTCCCCGGCAGACCTTGACACGTGGCGCAGGCACACGAAGTCAGGAGGATGCTGAGCACAGGTGACCGTTACCTTAACCGCGGGAGGGAGCCGCAGAGGCAGTCACCTGCAGCTGCACACGGAGGCTCGCTCCTGCCCGTGGGGTGCCCAGCAGCACACCTGGAAAGTTCTCCAAAGGACTCAGAGACCGGGCTCCCCGCACACCTCCCGCAGCAGAGCCTCGGGGCAGGGGACCAGGGACGGAAGCTTCTAGAAGCACGGCTGGCGAGTCTCGTGCATTTGGGAGCCACTTGCTGGAGGACAGAGTTTTCCTAGACTTGTTTGATGATACGAATCCCCGGAGGTGCTGGTTAAATACAGAGACTGCCAGGCCTGCCCCTGGACGCCCTGATCCACCCAGTCTGGGTTGGGCCCAGGAATCTGATTTTCTTTTTTTAAAAACCAGCACCCTATAACAAAATAATAGACTGCTGATGTTTTAACTTTAGCTTCAGTCACTGGATTAGAATTCAACTATGTGTGTTCATATTCTAAGATGTTGCTGATTAAAGAGGAATTATACATTTCTGTAATTAGAAATAGTGGTCACTATTGTTACCACTAGGAAAGTTTTATTATAACGTATAAAGTCCAATTTACCTTTTCTACCCATTAAAAATGTTTTAGAACTGTATGATTTCTACCTTATAATTAAATCAACATATGCTTTCAACGATTCGCAAAGTGACTATGCTAGATTGTCAAATCTTTACTTATTCCTGAAAGTTAAAAAAATGTTATCTTTAATATTTTATTGAATTAAAAAGAAAGCTGAAAAAAAATAAAAATGTATTACCCTCCCCCCCCAAAAAAACCCCAGCACCCTGGAGAAGTGTCTATGGGCAGTGTCTAACACAGGTGGATGCTTCAGACCCTCCTCATTCTCCCAAACCACACGCCACCCCACTCTCTGTCTGAGCAACTGGCCTGTGTCCTGTCTTGAGGAGGAACCCAGGCTGGCCACCACTCGTACCTATGCCCTTCCTCTTCTCACCTTGCAGACTTCTAGAACCTTCCACCTCCCTGCACCCCTCCACCCCAGTTCCATGGACAGAGGCCTTCCTCCCTCCTGAGCTCACACTTCCGTCACCCCTGCTCTGCCCCCGTCTCCCCCACCAGGGCCCTCCTCACTCAGTCACTCTCCCACGATGGCACTTGTGCAGGCTCCTCCTCCTCATGGGCTTCCTCCCTCTGTCCTCTGCCTACAGACAGGCGCACGCCACCCTGGTCCTGTCCAACATGGCTGCCTTCCACTCAGACGTATTTGCAGAGAAATCCTCCTTGGCCTCTTGAGGCTTTGGCTTCCAACCACCCACCTCCCATCTACACCGAACAGAAAGTTCTTTCTTGGCCGGGCCCGGTGGCTCACGCCTGTAATCCTAGCACTCTGGGAGGCCGGGGCGGGCGGACTGCTTGAGGTTAGGAGTTCAAAACCAGCCTGAGTGAGACCCCGTCTCTACTAAAAATAGAAAGAAATTAATTGACCAACTAAAAATATATATACAAAAAAAAAAATTAGCAGAGCATGGTGGCGCATGCGTGTAGTCCCAGCTACTCGGGAGGCTGAGGCAGGAGGATTGCTTGAGCCCAGGAGATTGAGGTTGCTGTGAGCCAGGCTGACGCCATGGCACTCACTCTAGCCTGGACAACAGAGTGAGACTCTGTCTCAAAAAAAAAAAAAAAAAAAAGAAAGAAAGTTCTTTCTTGAAGGTCTTCAACCAGCACGCGGTCAAATGCAAAGGCCTTTCTTAGGCCTCCTGATTTCTGTCTCTGTAGCCCCAGAATTACGTCCAAATCCCTCTCTGTTAGAAACTCTGCCACGGAAGTGCTTTCGTGCTGGGCTACCTGGGAAGGTGGAGCGTCCCTGTCCCTGGAGGTGTTTAAGCAGATGGAAGGGATGTCATAGAGGTGGTCCGAGACTAGACGACCCCATGGGGGTCTGTGACCTGGACCCCTTTGTCACAGACGGTGACGTGGCTGCACCCCAGGGCCAGTCTCAACCCCTCGCTCCGGCCCAGACCTCCCACCTTCCAGGCAGACCAGTTCCTCGAAGGTCACCCTACATGCCAGTCTGGCGGCTTACGAATCACCTAGGAGAACCACAAAATGCAAGTTCCCGGGCCGCAGCCCAGAGGTGGTGGTTCTGAAGGCTGGGCCATGCCCGGCCTCCACAGCCTGCGCCGGCCAGAACGCCCTGAGCAGCTGGCACTGAGGTGAACACAGGGACCAAGGCCGACGACACCTGCCTCCCTCATGCCCTCGGCAGGTTGTCAGCTGGGCTCTGCTCCACGCACCTCGGTAATCACCTCCGAGAGCCCCTTCCTTTTATGCTTTTAAGGGCATCAAGTCAGAGGCCCAGAGAGGGGAAGGGACTTTTGCATGGTCACACAGCAGCCTCCACCTCCCAGGTCTCCTTCCCTTCCTCACCAATCTCTCCTCCCCGCCTCCCGCTCCTTCTACACCCCCGCCCTGCTGGCAGGAGTCCAGTCCCGGGCAAAGGTCCTGGGGCAGCGGCAGGGCCAGGAGCAGACGGGCTCCTCTCGGTCTCTAAGAAGAGAAGGGACGTCCCCCAAGCCACTCACCACGTTGATGAGGACCATGGTGGCTGGCTTCATTCTGGAGGAGACGGGGATGGAGACCAGCCGGCCCAGGGTGATGAAGCCCCAGAAGAGGCTGGGCAGGTAGCCGGCCGCCTTGTGTCCGACGGACAGGGGCTTCTCCACGGCATAGCTGTACACGAAGGCGGAGTACGCCCCCTGCGAGAGACCGGGCCTGGGTGAGCGCGGCTGACTCGAGCCCACTGCGCAGGCCCCAGCTAGGAGCAGAATCCGGGGTGCCGCAGCCTCGGGCTGCACCTGCGGAGACCCGGGATTACAGAGACGTGCCTCTGGGTCCCCCGGGGCAGGGCGGACGCAGTAGGGGACCCCTACGCCTCATTGATGAGGATTCCACAAAAGGATTTTTGCTGAAGGAAAAGTTGCCAAAAAAAAAAAAAAAAAAGCATGCGTGCAAACATCTTGTTTTACAGGTGAGAGAGCGGAGAGGAGAAGGGACTTGCCCAAGGTCACCCTGAGAGCTGGAAGCCAACCAGTATTGTCACGAGTGCTTGCCACCAGGCCATCTACGTTTGGAGGGGGCCCCCTCTCCGGAGAGTCCCTCGTATGGCAATCAGTGATTTGCCACGAAAGACTATCCTGACCCAACCCTGGCAGATTTCTGGAAAAAGGCACTAACTAGTGTAACACAGGCCACTAGTAGAACAAACAGCCCGGCCTCAGTTCTGCCGGTAGCTTGTTTACAGCACGGGCTTGCGAAGCCCAGGTTTACAACGTATTCCAGGAAGCAGCGTGCCCTGCAGTCTGCACGGAGTGACCTCTAACTGGGGGGACAGGGCGCCGCCCTTTTAAAAAAAAATGCGAGTACCCTGCACTGGGTCACGGACCAGATAGGCCCGTCTACGGTGTTAACAAGAATAAGAACACTTGGCTGGGGCAGAAGCTCATGCTAGCAACGGGCTGTGAAGGACCCTGGGACAGTCTGCACTGCCGGCCCCAGACTGCGGTCTCAGGGTGGGGCCCCCAGTGGGGACGTGCGCCGCGGCAGGCTCACCGTCAACCCGTCCGTCATGAACAGGACCAGGGCGGCCGTGACGTGGATGGCGAAGAAGGAACACGGGGCTCCTCTGAAGTTCTTCCTCTGGCAGCAGCTGAACAGGTCCTCGTGCGCTGGGGGCGGTGCAGGAAGAGCAGGGGTGAGTCTCAGCGTCTGCTCCTGCTCCCCCCACCCCACCCTGCATGCCCCAGGGACAGCTGGCAGCCAGAGGCGCCCTGGCAGGAGGGGGCCGCTTCCTGCCTCCGCCTCCTCCAGCCTTCTGTTGGGAACAGCCCTGGTGGAAGCGAGGCTCAGAGGTCAAGGAACCTGCCCCAGGTAGCGCAGGCAGGGCTGGGCAGGAAGGAGGCTGGAGCCCGCCTTGCCACTCGCCCTGCCGGGCTGCTCGCTCCATCTCCCGCCTCTTGAGAACAAGGGTTTTCCCTAACCGTTATCATCTGTGATCCTGTGATCCGGGAGCACACCCTTTCTGGGAGGAGGGGGTCACCAGGGAAGCCCCGCTGTGAGGCTGTGAGCACGAGGGTTCATCAGAGCTCCTACCTGCCTGTTGCTGAAACTTGGGGGGCAGCGTGGAGGCATCCTCCTTCTCGGGAGGCTGTGTCTCCAGGGCCAGCTCATCTGCAGACAGGAGCAGGGGCGTCCTCTGCGGGCAGCAGGTCAGCAGCCGCTCCTTGGACAGCAGGAACAGCACGGCCATGGGCACTGGCAGCTGGGGGCCAGGCAGAGGGCGTCAGGCCCACTGCACACACCTCCAGGTGGCGGCCCCCACGGCGTCCGCACGGCCCTGGTCTCTTCCAAGGGTGCCCAGCTAAGAGCCGTGCCAGCCCCACCTAGTAAGCCGGGTGCCTTGACTGGAGGTGGGGGGGCTGTTGGTGTCATTGCTGCCCAACCTGAACCACACCTGTTCCCCCCCGAAAAGACAGATGTTTGTCACACCAGGCCTCCGCCGGCCCCGGAGAGGTGCCGGGTCAACTCACTTCTATTATCCTTATCCTGAGCAGTGCCGGAGCACGGCACTCACGCCCCTCCGTGCTGCAGATCAGTTTTGGTTTTGTCCATCACAGCCCTGTAAAATGTGCTGGGGGGGGGGAGCTTATTATCCCCATTTTCCAGATAGGACAACTGAGGCTCCCTGTTGTCACTTAGTCATAACCTGGTGGAACTGGAAGAGACCCGAGAGGCACGCTAGAGACCCAGGGAGTGGAAGCGCCTGGTCGCACCACGGCAGACTTGGGGCAGAGCTAGCCTGGAACCCGGCCAGCGTCCTGGTCCTCCCAGCCCCGGCCTGCCTGGGCGATGTCCTGTCCTGGCAGGGTGCAGAGGCCCCCTCGGGGCTTGATGTCTACACTCGAGGACACAGACGTGGACTCCCTTCCACCCAGCAAGGCATGTTTACAAGCACGGCTCGCAGACGAGCCCAGCGTTCAGTTCGTGCTCTTTACGTGAAGCCACCTGGGTTCCACCGAACTCCCCGGAGCACGGGAGCGTCTCCTGCTCCTGGCGTTGCCTGGAGAAGCCGCCACCAGCTCCCGCAGGCTCCCTGCCCGTGTGTCACCAGCCTCACCGCCGGCCTGCGCCGCGGCAAGTCTAACCGCTGCCCTTCCTGCTGCGGCTTCAGCCCAGTTCCCGTGACTTAGGAAAGAGAGGAAGCCCAGGGGGCTGCGGGAGACGCCGGGAGGGTGGGGTGCCAGCCGAGGAGACCAGCACCACCGGCGCTGCCCTGGGGGAGCCCCTCCCACTCCGCTGGAGGCAGCTGGCTCTCACCAGCATTTCCCCCGACACGTGACGGAGTGAACGACACAAATCCACCCCTGTGCTGACACCCCCGGACGGTGACCTTGGGGGCCTTCCTGCCCACTAGAAAAATAAGTCAAGGTCAGACGTGGCTCCTGCCAGCGGTGAGCCCACCGGTCGGGCCTGAGTGCAGAGACACAGCCCCAGCCCCAAGGGGTCCCGGCCCGCTGGGGGAGACGCAGCCCCACCTCCAGCCTGCCACCCGGCAAACAGGAAACCGGCAGGCAGGCCTGCAGTGGCAGAATGCCCGGGCGAAGGCCGAGGGGAAACAGCTGTAAAAGAGGCGGGATCGCCCAGGTGGGGCCTTCCAGCGAGGTGGGCGTGGGGAGGCCATCACAGAGGGTTGGCTGGCGTCGCCGCAGGAACACGCCCGAGCTTTATAAAAACGCCATTCAGGGAAGGCAGCCCCACCTTGAAAGCCAGAAAAGGCCGGGTGGGGCGTGCACGCGTGTGCGTGCGTGTGTGTGTATGTGCCGGCATGCACGCGCCAGCCCCCGCTTGCTTTGGTGGTGCACTGTTTGTTTTCACACACAAACCAATAGAAAAAGTCCGGAAATCCTGCAGCAAACAAAGTCCCTGCAGTCTGCACCTCATGGGGCAAGAGAGAACAAACCTCGGGCTTAAGCCGGACCTTCTGGCTTCCTGGGCCGGAGTCCCGGCCTTGGCTGCACTGACAGTGCGCCTTCCCTTCCCTTCCCTTCCCTTCCCTTCCCTTCCCTTCCCTTCCCTTCCCTTCCCCAGGCTGAGGTTCCAGGACAATGGATGCACTCAGGCAGAAAAGGGAAGGAGCAGAGAGAGAGGTGCATTCTGAGAACCCCCAGTGAAGAGTCCAGAACAGGGAGAGGGAACTCACAAAGGAAAAGGAAGGAAAACTGAGCAGCAATGCTGGGGTAGCAGGTGGATGGTCTCGCTGGGATTGGGGCTCTGCCTCTTACAAGCCCCTTATCAGGGCCTTGAGCCAGCAACGGCGTGACACCCACCCGCCACCGCTGCTGTGCTGCTTGTGCAACTAACTGGTGGTCTCAAAGGCACCTTTCAGTGCTACCTGTGCGGCATCCATCACTCGGGCTGGGCAGCGGGCGGGCAGCTGCTGTGGCACCCAGGTCCCGCCTGCCTGGCCCTGCAGGGCTGACCAGTTGCCCTGGTGCAAAGAGAGGCTCTACGCCACCCCGACAAGCAGCACGGTGCCCCGTCCCACAGCCAGGCCAGTGGCCACCTGGAACACTCCCCGTCCCCAGCTCCACGCTGCGCCCAAGCCGGCGGGAGGCCAGGGCTGCTCTGGTGTTGCCAATAGTCCTTCCCAAGCCAGGCTGGGTAGGGGAAGGGGGTTTCCCCACCCGGCCCCTGGCTCCAGTCTAGGCTAACGCCGGGGAGCCCATCTTGGGGTGCAGAGCACCAGGGCAGGGTTCCAGCCAGAGGCCAGAGTCAGTGCTGCCTCGGCACCAGGGCAAATGAAGGGGCCCCAGGATCACAGCGTGGGGTGGTCTCCCCATTGCTCCCGCCACAGGCTGCCTTGGCAGGCCCGGCCCCTCGGAGGTCCCCTCGTCCATCCCCCCGTCCTCCACAGGACCCCCCGGCAGCAGGGCACAGGAGAATCCCGCCAGCGAGAAGGACCCCGGAGAAGAGGCTAACATTTCCTGCCGCGGCCTGGGCCAGGGCCCACCGCGTCTGGCCTTGGAGGGAAGAGCCGGTTCCCCCCGGGCCTCAGATGCCTTGAGAGTTGGCCCTGATGTTCGCTGCGCTCAGCCTGCGCGCTGCTTTCCCGTCCTTGAGAACTGCAATGACAGAGGTCACTGAAGGGCCTCGGAGGTGACCCTGGGAGGGTCGGTGTGCCCATCCTTTTGCCTCCGGGATGGCACTCTTCAGCCCCGGCACTGGGTGGACTGGGCTGGGCGGACCGTCCACTAGCTCCCCACCCGGCCTGCCCCGTGACACTCACATTGATGAGGGCCATGATCCAGAAGGCATAGGACACTCGGGTCCCCACCCCGTCCTTCGGGGACAGCCCGGGCAGCGTCTGGTTGGACCAAGACTTGGCCTCGGCGTGGTGCTGGCCCAGCACCCTGGAGGCGTGGAACAGGTGGCTTCTGGAGGTGGCGTTGGCCGTGCCGTTGGCGGGCAGGCAGCTGGCCTCAGACAGGAAGGGGTCGGCGATGAGGGGGCTCAGCAGAGCGCCAAAGCCCACGAAGAAGTGGAGCACCTGCAGGAGGAGGGGGCACGTGGCTCAGCCGAGGACGCCACGGCCTGGCCTCTGCCCATGGGGGCCAGCTCCCCCGACCCCGCCTCGTGCCCCATCCGGGAGCCCCTGCCTGGCCCCAGAGTGGGGAGCAAAGGGGACAAGAAGCTGGAGAGGTGGGGAAAGGTGACTGTCACCTAAGTCAACCACCCTCATGGTGACTTGGGTGACAGTGACCAGTCCCCTCCCTCCCTGTCTCTCTTCTTTCCCAAGCTTCACCCCCAACTAGAGCTGTCCCCCATGTGAGCAGCTGCCAGCTGGCTCCCCAAAGCGAAGGGCTGGGTGGGAATCCCGGCTCCTGGGTGACTGGCACAGAAGGAAGAAAAGAGGTCGGAGAGAGGGGAGGAGGGGAAGGAGACAGGAGGGAAACAGCCACCCCAGCCCCGTCACACGCTTCCAGTTCACAGAGAACTTCCTCTCACGGGCACTGAGGCTGCTGTGACGCCCTGCAATGCAGGCTGCTTAGAGGCAGGGAACCCCAAGGCCGCAGGCACCGAGCGGCCGCCCGGCATGGCCCGGCTGGCACGTGGTCCAGCTGGGGAGGGGCCCAAGGAGCTCCCCACGCCCTCCCGCCAGGCTCACCTGCAGGAAGACGGCCGAGTCCTTCTGGTACATCCTCACCAGCTGCATGTTGGCCACGGTGTCGATGCAGCCCATGGCCAGGCCTGCCAGCGCCATGACCAAGGCCAGCACCTTCACGTCACGGCACAGGGGGATGGCGGCGAACACCAGGGAGATGGCCAGGGAAGACGTGAAGAGGGCCCACAGCGACTGCGCCAGGCTGCGGCAGGGAGGGCGGCGTCAGGGGGCCGGGCTGGGGCCCTTCGCATGCAGACCCCCTCCCTGTCCTCCTCGGGAAGACAGGATGTCCCCCCCCCCACCCCCTGTGGGAAGGGAGGCGCGCCGAGGACCGAGCTCAGTCACCCGTCAGCCACCGTGGGCACGCTGTCCAAAGAGCCGTCTCCTCCGATACCGGCCTCTACGTCCCGGGTTGCCACGAGAACTCCGGGTACCGCGGCCCACGATCGGCACTTCACAGAGCCCGGCTACTTTTTATTATTGTACTTATAAACAATTTTATGTTGCTTGCTTAAACCTTAAATTGTTTGCTTACAAACAATTAAATGCAAAAATGCCTCCCCTCCCGCCCAAGGAAGCCGCTTTGAACCCGTCAAGAGAGCCTCACCGTGGGCAGGTGGGACCCAAGATGGAACCTAAGCCCCGAAGCCCCTGAGCCGGGCCCCTCCCCTTGCCCAGGGAGACGTGCTGGCCCCAGTGTGCCCTCGCCACCCGGAGTGGCGAGCCAGCCACTGCCTCGCAGGCGCAGGGCCCTCAGCCCCGGGATTCGGGTAAATTGGCGACCCTCCTAGCAGGCGGAGGTTGCAGGCTTTGTGCTCGGCAAATGTCCGGAAGAGAGGCCCTGTGGCCGTCCCCACTGAGAGGTGTTCGAGTGGTGACCCTGTCCCCTTCTTCAGACAATAGAAAAGCCCACAGAGGCCGGGCATGGTGGCTCATGCCTGTAATCCCAGCTCTTTGGGAGGCCGAGGCAGGAGGATCACTTGAGGCCAGGAATTCAAGGCTGCAGTGAGCTATGTATGATCCCACCACTGCACTCCAGCCTTGGTGACAGAGTGAGATCTTGTCTTTTTTTTTTTTTTTTTTTTTTTGAGACAGAGTCTCACTCTATTGCCCAAGCTAGAGTGAGTGCCGTGGCATCAGCCTAGCTCACAGCAGCCTCAAACTCTTGGGCTCAAGCAATCGTCCTGCCTCAGCCTCCCGAGTAGCTGGGACTACAGGCATGCACCACCATGCCCGGCTCATTTTTTCTATATATATTAGTTGGCCAATTAATTTCTTTCTATTTATAGTAGAGACGGGGTCTCGCTCTTGCTCAGGCTGGTTTCGAACTCCTGACCTCGAGCAATCCGCTCACCTCGGCCTCCTAAAGTGCTAGGATTACAGGCGTGAGCCACCGGGCCTGGCCAGAGATCTTGTCTTAAAAAAAAAAAAAAAAAAAGCCCCGCAGGAGGCAGGGTGAGGACCTGTTCCCCGATAAGTGAATGGATAAGTGAGCGCATGGCATGTCTGAAGCTCTGGCAAGGTCTTTTTGGGACACTCTGCCCAGTAACCAGACCCTCAGAGAAGGGATTAAAGCCTTTTTTTTCCCCCCTGGACCAGTCTGAAAGGCAAGTCAGGGAGAGGAGATTGGGCAGCAAGAAGGTTCTGGAAGGTTCTGGAGGAGCTTTCTCAGATTATGAAGAGTTGGAGAGCCCCCAGTCAGCCTCTAGTTGGGCTGCTGGACCTGGAGAGGTGTGTGTGGGGCGCGGCAAAAAGACCGCTGAGTTTCCGGCTCACGGAAGAGAAAAGGGAAGTGCCCAGTGGCCCCGGGCTGTGTCTTGTCCCAGGGCTCCTTGCCTCTGACCCCCTTGGCCCTCAGCGCTGGCCTTCAGCCATCGTATCTTGCTCCATCTTTGATTAAATGCTTTATCAAAACGGCTCTGCTGATAAGCAGCAGTTCGTTATTTTCCCTTTTCTTGTTTCCAGGCTGATCTGTCGGGGACAGGACTGATGGAGACCCCTGTCTGTTCCCAGCTCGGAGCTCGGTGTGTGAGAGGGGAGGGTGCACCCGCTGCAAGGCCAGCCGTTCGGAGGAAAGCCAGGGAGGGCAGTGCTGTGGGGAGGGCTGCTCAGCTCCCTCCGGACTCCCCTGGCTCTCCGAGGGTCCCCAGCACCGAGAGCCCAGGCCCTGCTGCACCCCCGCCCCCACCCCGTGGGGCTCACTGTGCCCCCCTGTGCCGCTGTGTCCTGCTGTGCGGCCCCTCCCGCCTAGTGCCCAGCACAGAGTGACGCCGACACACTGCAGGTCGATGAAAACGTCAGATCTCTCATCACAGTTCCCTTTTCCCCTTCCTTTCCCTGGACAAGACAGACCAGGCAGGCAGGCAGGCTCCTGGGTGGCTGGCTTCAGGGACAGCCAGAGGGCCCCTATGTGCACACTGCAAATATCCCCGTCGGCCTCGGGACCAGGACTGACATGCCCACTGCCCCACTCGCCACTCTGCAGCAAGGCAGGGACACCCCGGAAACACAACTGCAGATACGCTCTTGAAGAATTAACTCATTATCGTGACTGCCTTTAAAAAGCTGATGGAAGTGGCTCAGTCAGCAGCCGCGAGGCAAAGTCCTGGGGGAATGGGACCGGGCACCAGGAGGCCGAGATAGGAAGGAGCTGTGGGAAAGGAAATGATGCTAATCACTGCGCCGCGGTTCACATGGTGGCCGCTGACATGTGTTTACAGTGCACGGACACCGGCTGCACGTGACAAGGCTGTGAGGTGGGCTTTGTCACTGTGCCCATCTGCCCCGGGAGTAAACCCAGGCTGAGAAAGGCTAAGACGGTCGCGGACGGAGCCTGGACTGCAACTCAGCTCTCCTGCCGTTACGCTCCCTGTGCCACGCTTTTCCACGGAGGAGCGTACGCACATGCATGTTCACACGTGTGGTTGGTGCGGGGCCGCAGACCCAGCCCGGCTGGAGAGGGGAGCACCAGCTGGGAACACGGGGCCAGACCCCGCAGAGCCTGGAGTTGCAGGAATAGGAAACAACGAAGAGCAGCTTAGTCCCTAGAACATGTGCCTCGACGGTCCCTCTGCGGCTGTTAGCAGGGATCCAAATGCTCGCTGTCCTAACCGCCGGCTTTGTCACCAGCCTCCCAAGGCACGTGCCACAGCCGGTTCCATGCGGGCCCTGTGCCCGGCCCCGCGCCTGGCCCCGAGAAGGTGCCCAATCCTGGATGTCGCCGGGGCAGGGTGCAATGCTTGGTGAAGGCCTGTCTGGCCGCCCCACACGAGCCCGGAGGAAGGGATAGCTGGGGAGCCGACGTGGGAGTTTCCCTAGAGTATCCGGTGGGGGCGGCGGAGGCTGCCGGGAAGATGCCCAGTAAACAGCAGGGGGCACAGGAGAAGGGGAAGGGCTGGCAGCACAGGGGCTGCCCTGTCCCTCGACCCCACGGGTGGCCCTTGGTCTCCTCTCACCTTGTCATTGTTGAGAAGGACACTAGATGCCCCATGGGGACATTTTTTGCCCCAGGCCCAGTGACAGGCCGGAGGGAGGGGTAAAGAGCGAACAAACAGCAGAGGGAGGCCGGAGGGAACCAGGCCTGGGAAATCTCCCCACGTCTCCCGCCAGAGCCCGGGTGTGAATTCTGGGACTCGAGCTTGACAGCTCGCAGCAGCTGGGGCGGGAGGGCTGAGCCCCCATCGGGCCAGGGGGCCAGGGGGCCAGGGAAAGGGAGATGACCTGTCCCCGTAAATGGGGACATCTGTGCCACAGGGAACCTTGCTTTTGGACCCCAGGCTGGCCACCCTCCCCAAGTGCTTCCGAGGGGCTGTGCCGGGACATTCCAAACATCGGCCTGAACAAATTTCTTTAGAATGGTATGTTGTTGCCAAGAAATAAAAAAAAAAAAAAAAAGTCCCAGCTATAACCCAGAGCCAGGCTGAAAGACATTTATTGCCTGTTCTAAATGGCCTGGTCAACGAGCCCTTCTGGAAGGTGGGTAATTGAAAATTATGGAATCATTATGTCAAAATAGTTTTGGCATCGAGGATGTAGTGGGATCTGTCATCAGATGACTGGGTTCTAGACCACTTTGGCCATTTCCCAGCAGCGTGGCTTGGGGCAAGCCACTTACACTCAGCCCCTCTGAGCCTCAGTTTCCTCTGCTATAAAATGGGGACGGCAAGCTCTGTGTGAGGCCGAGGCTGCTGGGAGGCGGTGTGGTGTGACATTGGTCCTCCTTTGCTCACTCGCTGGGCTTTCCCACGGCCCCTGCGGCCCCTGCCAGGTGCCTACCCTGTGGCCCCGGCTCCCCCAAAGAGCATCACTGGACCCAGAGAACTGTGCTCAGCAGAAAGAGCGCAGAGCTCAGTGCCGGCTCCGGAGCTCCCCCGCGCCTGCTTCCACTCCTGCTGCGACACCCTCTGGGGGGACCCTGGCTGGCCCAGGAGCTGTCGAAGGGAGGCGTCACACTGCAGCGTCCCAGCTAGCATGGCAGCAAGGACTTGAGTCCTGCCCTTCATTTTACAAATCAGGAAACTGAGGCTCAGACAGGGGAAGAGAGAGGAGTAGGACCGAGCCGGGGTCCAGTGTCTCCCAGTCCAGGCGAAGGCCAGCAGAGTGTCATCAATCTTCTCTCCTCTTGTCCTCGGTTCACAGGTTAATTCAGGGAGTGAGGGAGCCTCACTCCCTCATGGCCCAGCGAGACCCAGGAAATAGCCCAGACAGTGTAGGAAACCTGCTGCAGGAAGCTGAGAAATGACCAAGTTACTTATTAATGGCTCCACATAGAAGGTGCAAAGCGGGAAGGAAGAGGAGGGAGCCAGGGTCCCCTGTCCCCAGCCTGGCTGCGGTGCTGGAGCTGCCTGCCCAGCCCCGTCTGCTGGGTGACCTTGACCAGGCTGCTGAACCCTCTCAGCCCCAGTGCTCTGCCTTACCCTGAGGGAGCACGGGATCACCTTGACCCGGCCCTGCCCTGGGCACCTGCTCTCGCCCTCCCGGTTCTGTGAACAGAGCAGGGACTGCCTGGCTCCATAGCAGGGGAAGGGCCTGAGCGGCAAGGTGCCAGGCGGCCTGTTCCTGCCCTCCACCCCTGCCCAGCCTCCCTGAGCTCCTTCCCTGAAGGACGGGGGCAGAGACGCAGAGAGCAGAACTGCGAAGAATCACACACAGAGGCGTGCCAGCCCTACCCACCCCGAAGCGGGCAGGCAGCGCAGAGTGAGA